TTTCCAATGACTGTGACCGTCTTACCCTCTCTGTCCTTCATAGTAACTGGCACATCTGTATACCATCCTAACGAATCAGTGATATGCTTGAAATTGCCCTTTATAGCAAAATCAGATAGCTTATCAGCCTTCCATTTAAGCGCCTTAATTGCCAGGTCATTTATCCCACCAAATTCACTTCTGAGATCTAAAAAAGTTTCAGAAATTGCTAAATCATTTATATTTGCATTCAGATATTGTAGAGATGAAAACCACTCATCCGATTCCTTTTCTGGAGCCCTTTGGTACAAGCACATTTTACGCATTGCTGGTGAAAGCTTTGGCATTAGCTCATCATATGTTTTAGGCTGGCTGGATTCTGGAGACAACTTTTTATTTACTAATATCTGTTTTTTTTTACTGATTGATCATATCCAGTCTATCTATTATTTTCTTCGTCGTAACTACCATTATTATCATCACTATCGTCATCTGAAGCTGGAGGCGTGTATTGGGATTGTGTAGATAGAAGTTGGGGTAGTAACGTATAAAATTTGATTTAGCTACAGGATTTAAACTGGGGCAATTATTTTTCTTATGCCCTTCCTGTCCACAATTACTGCAATAGAAAGGCTTTCGAGATTGATCATTAAGTGACATTCTTCCTAATTGATTGGTTAATTGTCCTACAGAATCTGCAACACTACCCACGGTGTCTGCAACTTTACCCATTATAGATTCTAATCTATCAATTCTTGCTGAACGTAATTTATCTGGTTTATGTGGTACAGGAGGTCCATCAAAGGGATTATCACTTTCATATGAATAACGTAATTGCTCTATATTTTTAGGAGGAATTGGTGGAGGAGTTTTCTTGCTTTGTTGTACCATCTGTGCTTAAAATTTGGCTTTCTGCTTTTCCAATAAAGACTGGTATTCAGTTTTTTGCTGTACTAATGCGTCTTGCATTGCTTTCTGAAAATCGGCTAAAGAAATTCCTTGCTGTTGGGGCATGACATTGGAAATAGCAGGAGGGACTGGTGTATAACTAAAATATGATGGTGGCGGACCTAATACTCCACGACGTAATTCAAGTTCTGCTAGACTGTCAAGAATATCATTAATAGGCCTGTGCTGACCAATCCTATAGATTTCCTCCTTTATATCATCTCTTACTCCGGACATAAATTGTGTTTTCTTTTGCGCTAGAGTATAACCTAATTGATCTCCATACTTTAGAATTTTCGCCCAATATGAGGATACACTTTCATGTACTTCTTGTTTTAATGCCCCAATTTTAAACATTCTCAAATATCTATCAGTAGATGGGAAATGCTTTTTAATTCGAAACAACCTTTGTCCAGACCAGATTCCTGCAAGAATAATAGGAACGCCTCCTCCAGCATTTGGTGCAACTGGTACTGCATTGGTTGGTCGCCCTCCAGCTACTGTCCAATCTTCATCAAGTC